CTGGAGGCTTCCTTGACTCTTTCCACTGTGCTGGAGCTGGTGATATGTTTTTTCTCAGTCTGGTCTATTTTGGGCCTCTCAGGTTTTCCCTCCAACCTGACGACAAATGAAGACGTAAGTACCTGCGCCGATCTCCTTCCATAGAACAGGACCGGGAAAGCGTAAACCCCACCTCTGAGCGTGAAGCCCATTCCTTTCCAAGCAATGAAGACCTCCGCCCCAGATCTGTTGCTGCCTCTGCAGCAGTGTCCAAGGCGTTCTGAGTGGCCCTAGGTGTTTGGGGTACTTTATCACAGAGAAGATAAAGATGGCACCTTTGGGCTGCCCCTCTCCCTCTACTTGGAGTAGCCCAGCAAAGCATGACTGCGCACACAGGCAGAACGCGGGGGTTGCAAAAGTGAGAACAGCGTGTGGTGGTTGGCTGGATGAAGACTAGGGCAATTGGTCATGTTCTAACATGCTAGCTCATGCACTTGAACCTTTGCGCTGCCCCTAAGATGGACCGTGAGCCGCTAACACATTTGTAAACCGGACTTGCCTTGAGTATGGTAGATGCAAAGTCCTGTTTCAAATCCTGTTAGTTCAGACACGGATGCTTACCATGTGTTGACACATGACGTTTCCCAGTATCTGGCTCACCAACTGACCAGTCGACGGGGAGGAGGCTCGGTGGGTGGGTGGGTGTTACTTGGTTCAATTCTTTCTCTTGCCACAAACTTCCTGTGTGAATGGGGCAAGTCCCGTAGTTTCTCGCTCTGCCTTGAATCCTCCTCTTTGAAAGGGAGTTGGTTCAGAGGGGTTTTATAAAGATAAATGTGCATGAAAGATTGTGACCTGCCCAGATACTAGTGTAATGGGGGTGAGAAGTGCCCGGGTAGCATAGCTGGCTTTGTCTGGCTGCTTAAAGGGACTTGACAGTTACACTATCTGAAGGATTTAGACCCCTTGTTACAAGAGACAGTTGCTGTCCCAGAGAAAATGGTTCCCCTGCTCTTCTACTCAGTGGGTGTAACAGCACTTTGGGGCAGTTTCCGCTGGGTTTTACAGCTGAGATTCCCACTGAGGTTCATGGGAATTACACCGTGTGACTGAGCCCATGCTATGTAGGCAGTTTCCTTGTTGCTTGAGTGGCCACCTTGTCATGGGGAGAGGAAGTGAAAAAGGGAAGCGGGAGTGTAAACCCACACAAGCTGACCAGGGCTCGGGGGTGGGAGCAGGACCTGGAACGCCATCGGACGCCTACAGCTTCCGTGGCTAGGATTTCAAGGCAACGGTGTTTCCTTGTGCAGGCTCCTCTGGTAGGTTTCTTTACGTTGACAGGGTTGCCTGTGCCCTCCCCTCCCTGCTGTTGGCTTAGCCCCGGGAGCGCACCAAGTGCTTTGCTGAAATGAGCCCTGGCCCTGAAGAGCTCTCTGTCTAAATTTGGCAAACCAGAAATGAGTGAAGTGAAACACGGGGAGCAGGGGGGCGGGTTTCCAACCACCAGGCCAAGTGTGGGGCCTACCACACCATGCGGGAAGCGTGGCACTCTAGTGGGCACGCTTGGAGAAAGCTGTAGGGCACGCTGCTCTAGAGAGGACACAAGCGAGAGGTTGCTTGGTGCGGTGGGAGGGGGGAGCTTTGTGTCTCTGATACTTGCCCTACACTGCCATGGAGAGGAGTGGGAGTTCCGGGAAGTGGGGGCCGTGTTGTGGGGCACTTGGGCTATGTCTGTGGGAAGCGTGGCACTCTAGTGGGCACGCTTGGAGAAAGCTGTAGGGCACGCTGCTCTAGAGAGGACACAAGCGAGAGGTTGCTTGGTGCGGTGGGAGGGGGGAGCTTTGTGTCTCTGATACTTGCCCTACACTGCCATGGAGAGGAGTGGGAGTTCCGGGAAGTGGGGGCCGTGTTGTGGGGCACTTGGGCTATGTCTGTCACTTCAGTCCTGGGCTCATGGGGGGGGGGGGGGAGGGGCTGCTGTCCACGGCAGAGCACTGACCATCCATCCCCTCTCACCAGGTTGGTACAGCCGCTCTCCGAGTTACAAACCAACTCTTGGTCCGTAACTCGAACTGTTTGTAACTCGGATCCCATAGAGTTACATGGCGACCACACTGTTTGTAAGCGCGGATCGCCGTTCGTAACTTGGATCTGCATTTACGACCGCTTTGGTCATAAGTGGAGGTGGCCGTAAGTCAGGGAGCGGCTGTACTTTCTCATCAGCCTATGTCCTTTCAATTGCAGATCAAAGGGTCATGGTCAAATAAGAGAGGCTCGGAGTTTGCCAATCCCTACAGCCATAAGAGCATCCTTACCAACTGCTGTGCAGTGTTGTGTGGGCCATTCCATCCCAGGTAAGAGCCTCCGATCCTCACTGGGCTCCGGACGTGCGGCAGTGGAGAGAGGAGAGGTTAACACTGGCCCCCAGGGGCGGCACAGGGCTCTGGTGAGGGGCGTGCTGGGGGACTCCGAGGCTCAGGCCAAGAGGGATTGGCAGGTGCTGACTGTTACTTTTCATCCATTGAACTCTGCTTCATTTAGGGAACTTCAGACTTTTTGGTTTAGGGTGTAAACTGAGTACAACTGGAATTTCCCCTGCTGTGTTAGTAAGAGGGGGAGGTAGCCATTACAGGAGGGCTCAGCAACTAATGGTAAGAGCCAGGGATGTCAACATGTGGTCGACTGCACAGTTAACTGATCATCGGAGTTGACAAGATTA